TGTAAACAGAACAAACAGGTCTGAAATGCAGTGCTTGACCTGTGACGCAACTCTCCTCAAAAGTGGCGTCTTCCTTCGCATGTATTCATGTGAGGGCAAGTTTTACTATGGACACCCCTGCAGACTGGGCCAATTAAGTCTGTGGTGAAACATGTAATGTTTCATGGAGTTTACTAGCACTTTTTTCCCCTGAGCACACGTCATTTGGCTCCGTTAAATATACAATAAGAATAGGGATTCTACATATTTTTTTCAATCTGAACCCACCAAGTTGCCATTTTCATCAAAATTGCAATGCTAATCATCATGCATAACTAATTTTATTGCTTAATTGTTGACAACTTCTGTGATGGACTGGTGACCTATCCAGGGTCCTTCCTTCCTTGCACCTGTTGTTACCAGGATAGACTCCAGCTCCCCCACGACCCTGAATTGGATAAAGCGGGTAGAAAGGGTGTGAGTGGGTGCTTCAAACTAGTGGAATTCTGAAGAACTGACCTATTGTATTACATATTTCATATCATTCACCACGTGACTGTTTAATTTCTAGTGTAATAACATATATACATACACCCAGTATGGATAATAATTTATAATGATGGTTTCTTACTCCTAAGCCACTCCAGTGTAACTTTGGCCTTGTGCCTTTGGGTCACTGTCCTGCTGAAAGGTGAATTTTTGTTCCAGTTTTAGATCTGAAGCTGGTTTTCCTCTTAAGATTTGCCAGATCCATCTGTGTTTCCAGTTCCAGTTTTCAGATTTGTCTTGTCTGACAACAAAACGATGCACTATCACTTAGGTGTTTTTTTGCAAACCTTGTGCATAATCTGAAATGTTTTTTCAGTCATATACAAGCATCTATCATGGAGAGTGAAGCAGGCTATTGCTGACCCATTGATATCTTTTAAAAATCAGCCACTGAAGTCTGTAAAGATTTTTATAGTTGCCTTTGACCTCCCTAATGGCATTCCTAACCCGTTTCTTCCTTGCCTGGCTGCTCAGTTTGGAGTGGCAGCCTTATCTAGGCAGTGACTGAGTGTATTCCACTTCACCATGCTCCAAGATATATTAAGATAAAAAAAATAATAATACATTTTAATTTTATTAATACATTAAAATCTTTCTATACCTTTTTCCTCATCTGTGCCTGGGATACATTTTTATCCCAGGCCCACGGGGAATTTTCTCTAATCATCTCAGAATAGGTCTGCGGTATGTTCCAATTTCAAATACTTTAGTTGTGCCAAAATATGACCCTACCTTTTAAGACAACAAGAAGACATATTCCAAAGCATGCTTGGCAGCATTTATACTTCACATAAGTACTGTAAGTACTGCTTGCTCAAGAACATTTGTAATGGTGTACATGCATCTGATATCTCTGCTTTATATAGGAGGAGCCAATATTGCTCTGTGAAATCAGTGCAGTTACCTAGTACTTGCATATAAAATCTCAACTTTAACTCAAGGTGGAAGGTTAAAAATAGGAGAAAATCTCAACTTTTCAACAAAATCTAAAGAATACAGTGCTCATCCTGCTCTCAGATTTGGGGCTTTTTCCTAGGCATTTGGAATGACTACATTCTATTTTGCAGTGAAAACAAAATGCAAGTCATACTTTTAACAATACTCCACACATATAGAAACACAAAGGAAGGGATCAATTTGTTGTAGAAAGACACTTGTAATAGACTAGTTTTTGGTCTATAAGATCTCTGCTTACAGAAACAATAAGTTTGACATAGAAATATCTTTATGGCCATCTCTTTGTCAATAATGTTTACTGGTTATCAAAGGAAATTATTCTGTATAGTATTCTCCACTTATTGTGCTTGAAGAATGCTAAAGACTACTTAATTCAGATCAGTCATAACACAATTTTGTATAATGAAATGAATGGGGTGAATGCGTAAAGGAAGAAATGGCTGTCATGGAAGATTATAACTTTCCTCATTTATTTGGGAAAAAAATCAATGGGGATGTCAGAAACTGAAATTTAAATGGTACACAAGGCTGACAATAATTCTTGTAGTCTGTCAGAGCATCTGCTAGAGGCAATATGTTCAAATCGCTAAGACAGAGTGAAGAAAACAGAGGTGAGAGAACTGTGGTTATCTTCAAAGCATAATCGAATTACAATTTGAAACCGTATAATTGAAACAGATACAGTCCAAATCAAAAGAATCAGACTACAAAGAAAAAATCAGAGCTTAATAAGCTGAATGGAACAGGATAAATAATCATTAGAGAATGGATAGCAACAGGTTAAACATATTCTTCTGGAAGGAAGTAGCTCAAAGTCAGTTAAGTTAAATATAAAATGAAAAAAGCACCTAGTAATATTAAATAAACAGGATTCAGTTGAAAAAAGGGAAATATAATGACACAAGCAGAAGCTCAAAAGTATGTTAGAAAGATCAAAGCAGAAATAGAAAAATTGCAAATGGAGGTTATAATAAATATTACAGTATTACAACACCTAAGGAAAAATAAAGGATAAAGTGGGAAACCTTTAGACAAAGAAAGGGAAAAAAGCTGGTAATTAATTTAATGTCTTACAAAGTCACAATGTTGCAATAAGAAAAAACTTATAACATGCTTTAGGCTCAGGAAAATTTCAATATTAAATAATATTAGCATAGTGAAAGATGTGTTACAGGTACTAGAAGCATTTACAGTAAACATCTCTAAGTCCTGATGGTATTCTACCAGCTGTACTTAATTAAAGTAGATGTTATTCACAGGCCATTAACAAACCTTTTCAGGCAGTTTCTTTAGACATTGCCTGCAAAGCTGATAACTAGTGCCCATCCATAAAAATGGTGAAAGATCTGAACCAGGTTATTATAAATAAGTTATCATTCTCTTTTTGAAAGGTGGGTTTTAATTAGCTACCTTGTTAAGAGTTATTTGAACAAGCTACAGCAGTAATGGATATAAAAACAGGATATGATATGGTTTATATAGATTTTCAAAAGGGTTATGATAAAGTTACCCTTGAAAGATTAATTCTTAAATAGATGTTAATTATTAGTTATTTAAGGTACTTGGAGAAAGAATTGGTTAGTGACCAGGATATGTTTTACTGTATGTGTACTGACCAGCAGCCATATCACTCTGCAACTCACAAGTGGCAACCCACTGAAGCTCAGAAGGTGTGAGCCTGGTCAGTTCCTGGAAGGGAGACCTCCTGGGAAAAACTAAGGTTGCTGCTGGAAGTGGTGTTAGTGGGGCCAGCAGGGGGTGCTCAGCCTGCAGTCCATGTGGGTCCTAATGCCCCAGTATAATGACGGGGACACCATATTGTAAACAGGCGCCGTCCTTCGGATGAGACGTAAAACCGAGGTCCTGACTCTCTGTGGTCATTAAAAATCCCAGGGTATTTCTCGAAAAGAGTAGGGGTGTAACCCCGGCGTCCTGGCCAAATTTCCCATTGTTCCATTGGCCCTTACCAATCATGCCCTCCTAATAATCCCCATCTATGAATTGGCTTAATTACTCTGATCTCCTCCCCATGGATAGCTGATGTGTGTTGAGCGTTCTGGAGCACTACGTCACATCATCCAGGTGGTTTCTGCACATTGGTGGTGGTGGTGGAGGGGAGTCCCCATTACCTGTAAAGCACTTTGAGTGCTTTAGAAAAGCGCTATATGAGTGTAAGCAATTATTATTATTATTATTATTATTAGATTGACACTTCTATCCAAAGCAGTTCACAGTTACACCCAAGTGCCACACCTACTGTAGTATGTGAACACAGAAATTTAGCTGAAGTACGAGTCTAAATCTAACCAGTGTTTGACACTGTAGTCCTAAAATAAAATAATTTACCTGTTTAAAAAGGAGAAAAAAAAACTAATTGTATATTGTGTTTATACAAGATTTGTTCTACATCCTGTGAAATATTAATACTGTGGATGTTGATGTGATTTCGCTCAAGATTTGTCCTGCTAAGTGTATGTCTGGACATTTGAGTCACGCGAGCTGAAATAATTCCCCGTTTGAGTTTGCCATCCTTTCATTTTTCTATCCTAACAGGTGACATTGATAAAAGGTGTTTGGAAACTGATGTATATTGAAGTAAATTCATATTTTTTATGGCTGCGAAGAACAATACTCCTGACCTCTGTAGTCTGGAACATCCACCTGAAGAGGCTGCACATATGAATTCATATTGCGATTTGCAATGTCACAGTTAAAATCACCATTTGTATTAACACCACTGACGCAACCTAACATTGTTGTCAGCGTTAAACTCCCCCTGAAAAAAAAAACAGTGCTACTATATTTAAAAGAGACTACTATATTTACATACAAGGACTCAACAAGATTTCAAAATGTTGCTGGAGCTGGTTACTATTGAAGGTCACAGACTTATTCCTGCAACTGCCAGGGCAGGACCAGGAATGTTTTGTAGAGAGTGAGTTAGGTGACCCAGGGCTGCAGCAGGAAATCCACAGAGGTAAAGAAGAGAACAGGAAGAGCTTCATCAGTAACACAGAGAGCACTTGCATTTAGCTGTTGCATCCTAGGGCAAATTAGAGCAAAGAGTAGCAAACTGAGCAACAGTGTGCAAGAGGGATGCACTTGTTCACTTTTTTGTCAGTATTTTCTTGGCAAATACCATTATCGAGGATAACTTACAATGATTATGAAGTTTATATTTAGGTAAGGAAAGTTAATTAATCCTAAATACACTTTTAACTTCTTCCATGTTAATTTCACACTGTAGCTTTGAAAAAAAGAGCAGTGGAACCGTAACAAAAATCCACCAGGTTACCTGTGAGCTTGTTCTTTTTATTTGCTGATGAAAACATACACAACATGTTAAGGTTTTGTCATCCTTTTTCCAGTTTAAAACTGCATTTTTTTAGACCTAATGATATTGTGCCAACAAAGATGGGAAGATAAACACAGAAATATATTAAAATCTATATTAGTTTGGTTGTTATAGAAAGATAAAGAAACAGTAAATAGTCTCCACAGAAATGTTACTTCACCTGTACACTCTTTCTGTAAAGCTGAGGGAGACTTCAGATCCTCCTTGTCTGTGGATTCTTGACATGTCTGCTCCTTTCTCTGTCTCACCTCTGTCATTTCACCTCTGGACAAAGAACCAGGTGCCACACTTTATTGGCAAATAAACATCACACTTTATTGGCAAATACAAAACTGAATTTACTACTGCATAATGCTCTATTTTAAACTTGATCCCTTTTAACTTCTTTCCAAAAGATAATTTCTGTTTCTTTTTAAGAAACATCATGAATACACCTATATATATTTTTAATATAATGCAATATGACATGCACATTTAGAAATAAAAAACATCATTTAAAATTTTTGCTATTATTTTATTTTGCCAATTATAAGATTAAGAATGAGCAGTTCACTAAAAAGCAGTTCTTTAAGGAATTCGGGAACAAGATGAAAACCATTAAACTGTGTAACTTATTGACTCAATAATCACACTCAAGAAGTTGTTTCTTTAACTATTCTACCATGAAAATTTGCAAGTACATTTTTGAACATATAAAATGTTGTATGTTCCTGTTGTAAAAAGATGACTTGTGCCCTCTAGATACTCAACCAAGGTGTTCTGAATTAATGACTTAACGTGATTACAAACATTCTGATATCAAACTGTCCCCTGCTCCTTCAATCGGCGATTTTTACTGACAAATACATTGGATCTGAAACTATCTCTTTTGTCTACATTACTATGACATATGAGAAAACAGATCAGGCATTTCTTCTACTCTGTGAATTATAGCTGGAACCAGAGGCTACAGTACACATCTGGATTTTCTGTTGAAAACAATACTCTGTCTCTGACAGAAAATAATCAAACTCATTAGGAATATTAGAACAAACCAGATTGCAGATATACACAGGGGATATGAACAGGACAGTTCACTTTCTTTATATTGGAAGTAGCAATGTTCAAACACAAAAATGTGAAAGGGAAATACTGCTGTTATTGAATTAGACAGATAAATAGCGGTGCCGTGGCTCTTTGGATAAGGATCTGCGCCTGGGGCTGGAACGTTGCTAGTTCATATGCTGCAGCCGACAGAGGAATCCTCCTCTGTTGGGCCCCTGAGCATGGCCCTTAACCCCAACTGCTCCAGGGTCGCTGTATAAATGGCTGACACTGCGCTCTGACCCCAAGCTTCTCGTCCTGTCTGTGTGTCTCACAGAGAGCAAGTTGGGGTATGCGAAAAGACAAATTCCTAATACAAGAAATTGTATATGGCCAATAAAGTGATCTTATCTTATCTCTTAATATAGTGAATTTAATTGAGTGACATGGTGGCACAGTGGTTAGCATTGCTGCCTCGCAGAGCTGGGGCCCTGAGCTCAATTCTGGACCTGGGGTGCTATCTGTGTGGATTTTGTATGTTTTCCCAATGTTCTGATAGGTTTCCTCTCGGTGCTCCAGTTTCCTACCACAGTCAAAAGACAAACTGGCAAGTTAAATGGTTTCTGGGGAAATTGGCACTGGGGTGAGTTAGTGATTGTTTGTGTTTGTGTCTGCCTCAGGATGGACGGGTGTCCTATCCAGGGCGTACCCTGCCTTACGCCCATTGCTTGCCAGTATAGACTCCCCCCCTCAAACCCAGAATTGAAAGAAGCATTTAGAAAATGTATGGATAATAAATTATTACTCTATATTAACAGCAATAAAAACCATTTATAATGCAATATATTTGTGGGAAAATCATATATACTATCATTGATACTTAGTATCAAGCTGCATGAACATAATTTAAAAAGTAAATTTTGACTGAGAAAAATAGTTACACTATTTCTAACAAATTTCTCTTTCCTATACATAGTGTTTATCCAGATTATTCAATCTGTACACAAGTACAACTGAAAATACATGCATATTAAATAACGCTGGATACATTGATTCATGTAATTAAATTATTCATGAATTCAACAGCTGATTCATCACTTTTGTGAGATAAGTCTGATAAATCTAGTGTACACATAACTCCAGCTGAAAAAGTAATCAGTTATCAGAATCAAAGAATCAGTGCCAGATTAACACACTGAGGCCCTGAAGACAAGTATTTTTGAGTATTTATTTTTAGACTTGTGGACTGGACTTTGGTCACCCATATTCTGTATAAACAGAACACCGTGAGACTGCATCAGTGCTCTAAAGCCACAGAATTTCACCTGTTCATTACACTGCTCTAAATTACTTAAATATCTGCTATCAGTGTCACAGCCAAATCAGTGCTCAGGGTGATAGCACATTCTCTTGCTATGCACCCATACTGTATGTTTGAGATACTTCCTTTTCAAAATAAATAAATTAAAAATAAATATTACAAAAACAATATACCTATTTTTCTGTCTGGGTCATAATTTCACCTTCACCATTAACATAAACACATATTATTAAATCTGATTACATTTTTTTCAGGCATATGTTACTTGAATCCATGATTCAATTAACTTCAATTATATTTCTAAAACAAATATAATGTCTTGTTTCCACCACAAACGAATGTCTATGTGAAGATGCTACAAAACGTGATGTTTTTAAAGCAATTTCACAGTATCATCGAACAGGTAGTTCGAACAGGTAATTAGCTACATCCCCAAACTCGACTCTGGTGGGAAACGTTCTGTAAACCTACCAATGACTTATTGCATTATGTGCCATAAAGCTAAACAATTACATAATACAGATAACATTTCACATACCAAATGTCGATAGTTCCAGCAATAAACTGACAATTCTACAAAAAACGTAGGGTAAAATATAGTTTAACCTTAAACTGTGTAAAAACGGAAGCGTTTTTATGTACTTAAATGCATTACATTATTACCACCCGGGGCGTCCACAACATGGATAATTATGTCTATGTTAGTTCAGGTGGGTAGCTGCGTCAGCATGCGTAGGCTGCAAAGGAATAAGTAATAGGTTTATTCCATGCTGAAAAGAGAAGAAAAAACACAACGTTTCGGCCGTGGAGCCTTCTTCAGGTGTGCTTCAGATCACCTGAAGAAGGCTCCGCGGCCGCAACGTTGTGTTTTCTTTCTTCTCTTTTCAGCATGGAATAAACCTATTACTTGCTCCTAATTATGTCTATTCCTCGCAAGCCAAGTCAACGAAATACATTATGATGAGGTCAACAATAAAGAAAAGGTTTAGTATATCACCTTACCTGGGGCGTAGAAAACTCAAACCTATTCCATGTAGAAAGCAGATGTTAAAAAAATCTAACAAGGAGCCCTTCCTGTGGAAGTTTTGCTGTAAAAAGATGGTCAAATTCCAAAATTCCAAAAGCTATCTTACAAAAACACAACACAACACGGTGACTTCCGTCTCGTCCTGTGCAGGTTCTGCCGGCTGGTGTTACACTGAACTGTATCCGTCTGGATATGTCACGCGAGGTTCCACTTTCTGTGTTCAACACGCTTTATTTAGATTTATTAATTAACATACTGCAACTTGCGGATTTAATAAGGAACCATATTAGGTTGAGTACTAGGTAGTGGCTCTCCTAGTCCCCGCCTTGACCACTACTACTCCCGTCCTGCCCCCCGTCGCGTACCCCGACCGGGCGCTCTTCGGCCTCAGCGCCGGGCGAATGCGCTACAATAATATGTGGGTAGACATTTATACATATGTATTACTTGTCATGTATATAGCCAAACGCTCGTTATAATTAAATGTTCGTTTTTAATAAATATATACGTAGCTACACCAGGTGGATTTTTTTATATAGCCTTACATTTAACTACATAAAGTACCATTTTGCGTCCACTGTACCCCTGTTCCTCAATATCCTCAGTCCCAGCACAATATATAGCTGTGCACTCAAGTGACCCCCAGATGTGACTGCATATATAAGGTCACGACCCATTTACTTATATTTATTTGACAGAATATTTATCTTAATATATGGTTCAAAACTCAATCGCATACTGCAGGTCCTACGTACATTAGTAGTTGTAGTAATGACATCTTCCTTAAGATTAAAACATGAGACTTATGTCTATTGTGTTGCGATTGGAATACAATTTTAATAAATAAATTTATTATAAAAAAAATAAAATACATTTCACAGCGACGGACACTTAAAATACGTCGTAGTCACGATATCATTTATATTAGTAATAAACTGCTACTGTAGTCGAAATTTTCCCTTGTGATCCAGTGTCCCGCTCAGTACGGCGCTGAATTCATAAATCTATAGCAAGAGTTGTACTAACATTGTCCTGTATTTTTAGCATCCTCAAGGGGGCAGCAACTGTTACTTTGGATGTATTGCAATTAAAAAACGTTTTTAGTCCTGAGCTGGAGGACTCTTAAGCAGCGAAGTTCGTTGCAATCGGTAAGAGCCTAGCGTACAGAGCTGCGTATCGACTAGTGGATCATCCCCAGTTAAGTACTCCGCCTTAGTTCGATGCAATTGACTCATATAATTTTATTTTCAGTGTGCTAAAATAATAAAATGACCATGATACAAAGGAACAAGTAAAGGTTTATTTAATGCTGAAAAGAGAAGAAAAAGCGTTTAGGCTGTGGACCCTTCTTCGGGAGTCACTGCTACATAACTAATCTAATCATATGCAAAAAGGAAAATTGACACTTCACACCCACCCTATATATTGATCAAAACTAACAAAAATCTTATTAGTTATATGAGAAAACTGAATTTACTTATATTGAGCAATATGATTTTTATAAGATTTCTTCACCTTTCTGTCATCTTAACTGATAGCATGTCTATAAGATTAAGGTTTCAACATATTGTAACGCAACCCATCCTCAAACAAAGAGATCCAAAAATAATTAACATTTATACACAGTCTGTAGTTATACATCATCTTTGAAGTCGACTACAAGCACTACACACTGTTATCTACCTTAAACTCCCATAACTTGCAAATAAAAAAGCAAACCGATAATAACACCTATCTTGTACAGAGTACACAACTAGGAGCACTAACATCACTAAAGTGCTGGGTGTTTAAACCCAAGGAATGAAGAGCATGACCTCCTTAGGGTACCCTCAATGTTATGATACATCCTTCTTGTGGTCATGTAGAGGTCTATTGCATTTGTGAATTCCATGTGTTCCCAGTGGATTCAGCTGAATATATATCAAATGTTATCGTTTTACAGCATACAGTTTTTAAGAGCTGATCACTTTGTAAGCATATATAAACTTTTGCAAAGGCACATTCCTATTTGAAAGTATTATTTTAAGCTTTTTGGGGGTTTAGAATGGTATTGACAAGACTCACAAATAACAGGTACATGACCTATATGGTTTTAAAAACAAGTAACAACTTTAGATTTTTTCTTATATATTACAAAACATATGACATGAGATACAGTATAGTATTTAAACCAGTGGCTGGAAAAAGCAACATGCTTGTAACATATACTCATGCTTTTACACTGAACAGCTCAATTGTGGTAAACCTGTGATTTATTGTAAGGCATAGAATCTATGTTCTTTGGATTTTTCAACAGCCACTGTGTTAATAAATGTAGATCCTAGTGCAGTGAGATTCACTTTCTGTGCAGATACATTACTTGGTCTCACACTGAGCCACACTGTGAAGCTTTATTTTCAATATTAGCCTTTAAAGATTGAGGTATTATTCCAAGAGTTCACACCACCTTTTAAGTTTAAATAGGGCTGTCTCTGCAACACATGTCAGCAGGCAGTAGAAAACACATATAACTACTGTGAATCACCAAGAAATTCTCTCTGAGGCATTAATTTCCGGTTGTGTTTTTTTTTCTACTATCAGCTCTATGCACAGAAACCGTGCTTAGACTTCCTTGAATTCTTCAGACCTGTACAACCTGCAAATGTTTTTTTTCAGCTGACTCAAGTGTTAGAGTGAACAACAAACCACAAAGCACTTCCTTGCACATCAGTGATCGCCCCAGATACAGTGGCTGCAAACTTCTAGCATAGTTTTCATGACCACAGCCTCACCACAAAGAATAAAGAATTAAATGTGATAAAGACTGAAATGACACAATAAATCAGGAAAACATAAATTTATCACCTTATACATAGAATACATATAGTATAATATAATACCCAGAAGTAACATAATTACTAAAATTATTAAGATTTTTTTAAAAAGAGATGCCCATATCATTGAAGGGCAATGATACACTGAGACTCGGGCGAGAGGCTTTGCCAACAGTGTGTGCTCTTTTCAAGCTCATGCTTCTGTTCTCAGGAGTTAACCTTACTAAGGCAATCTGTTAACCTTACTGACAATGATTTAAGGTAAGAGAAGAAAAAAGCATGTGAATAGAAAAAAGTCATATAAATCCTACAGAAGTATCAAACTGTAGATGTGTTGATGTGAACTGTAGTACTAAACAGAGTTGCTATATGACTCCCATGAGGGAACCAGTTGAATTGCCTGCTAATGATTTACTGTAAACTTCATTCAGTAATGCAGCTAGCCTTCTGACAAAGTGCTGTATTCTGTTGTTTGTCTGCATTTTATAAACATTTTTTTACATATTGTTTGCCTTATGGATTTTCTGTTGGTTGTAAACTTAAACAAACAAACGCTTATTCAGAAGTGTATTAAAACTCCAATATTGCAATTTACATTTATAACAAAACATTTCCTATGTACAAAAATACTTTTAAGGTCCGACTCAGGGAATGAATCAAATAGAGATGTGATATCAATTAAAAGTGTTGACAATGAGTTGACCAATGCACAACAGAGTTAGTCTGAGTTGTGACTTGTGTAGCTTATGGTAAAACTTAAAACACATACCCTGCAAATGCTTACACGTTTTTTTGACAAATACATTGTCATTATTTGTCTGTTCTCAAACTTGGATGCATTTGTTAATGGTAAATATAGTAGTCAAAAATCACCTCAATACAATTTTAAGAACATAAGGTTACAAACAAGGCTTTTATGGTTGGTAGTAACTGATTGATCTGGGATTAATTATTGAGGGATACTAGTGTATCAGCTTCAACTGCATGGCTGAGTAGATTGTTCCAAGCTCCTACAAACCGTTGCATAAATAATTGCCACCTGCTCTGAGTATTAAATGCAGTTCCTCTTAGTTTCCTCTGGTTTGTGTTTAATTGTTGATCCTATAGAAATCTACTATATTATCTTTGTCAGTAAATTAAAGGATTTAAAATTCTCAGAACATAAACAGCAGATCACTCTCATACTAGTCATTGCCATAACAAAGCAACAGCCGCTCATCAGGCCCAAGGTTATCCTGGTTTCTGTGGTGTGAAAAGGACAAAATAGCATGTGACTCCCCCTCTGTGGATGAGATGCTAGTCCATGGATTACCCCCAGCAATGGCAGTCTCTATACATTTGGTGGACATGAGCAAGGTAAAGTACCACTCTCTTACACCCACAACCCACCAGTCTTATGTCCAGAGATTGTGCCACACCACCCTTCTAAGATCACATATAACACTGTAATTATTAACCACTTAAAGCAACTGTTTTGCCTTAAAAGCTTTAAGAAGCTGTAATACTTTGACATTTTGGTGCTTCTATTTTTCAACAGGACTACAAATTAGAGATACGGTATATTACAGCGGGACAGTCAAATACACAATACAGCACCGAAAACATTCAAATTCTTAATCTCAGATATGTCTATAAAATGTAATTTTCCTAGAAATGTTTACTTATCTGTTTACCATGTTTTGCCTTTGGTACAAAGGAAAAATAATTGATCACTGAAAAACTACTTACTTTTTGAATGTCAGTTTTATTTTTTAATAATTAGGTCTCTAAATTCTTTTGTATGTGAGGTAAACATCTCTAAGTCTGTTCACTAATATGAAACTATACACACTTGGCATGTTGAATATCTGTGACAGTCATGTTTTGTCAAATGGTGAGTCCTTTATGAAGAGTCCATACACTCTTTATTTCACTTTATTAACAAATGGATCATAACTGTATTTCATTCAGGGGATGGTTGAGCTTTTGGAAGCACTGTCATCTAAATCAAATGTTACACCATGAACAATTAAATTGTGATCCTATTGCACCTATTGAAAAGTATTTCAACTTTTTATTAAGTTCAATGCATATCGAAGTTTAAACTACTGCTTCCAAATCCAGTCCAGGCCTCTACAGCATCCCCTTCCCAAAACAAAACACATGTGTCCTCTGAGTAACTCCTGAACAAAGAGGTTATTGCAATAATCTAAGTTATTGCCCCTCTGAGACTCTCTGAGCTCCTATGTAACCCTCAGAAGACAGAAATTATTGACTTGACACAGCTGTTTATTTCTGTCCTTTATTGATCACAGTAAACCAGCATTCTCCCCCACCAACCAGTCATGAATAATCTATCCCATCTGATTTTGCTCTGATAAATCTCTGGGATTATGAAATGTATCCTTATTACACTGCAAGTAGTATTTTCCTTGTAGCAGGGCTTTATTTTTAGTTTTGCTATGTAGTATCATAAACAAGGGAGCGTTGCTGCATGTGCTTCAGTAAACGTGGGGCGTTGAACAGCACAACGTGAGCAGCACAGTTAAAACACTCCCACCACGTGAATCTGTTCGCTTTCTCTCCCTTATATGGACATCAGTGGCAATGACTGACTTGGAGGAGTACCTCTCTCCTGGGCTATTCCTACTACTCCAATTCGGAGAAAGCAGAATCAGGCGATTTGGGATCCCTGTGCCTTTTACTCGAATTTTCATAATAAGGATTATGATTATAAATGCGGGCTCGGAATACAGTTAACGACGCTAAATCAGGCATGACCTTAACTTCTGGCAAGCCCTCAGAGACCCTCATAATTTCTAACATCTTACAAAACCTGAAACAAGAAGTATGGTTACCAAAGTCAGTTGTATATTTGCAATAAATAATGCGATCAGAAATATACAGTTTAACAAATTAGCGATTTCCCGATAAGGCATATTGATCATTTGGGTTTGCTGAAAAGTGTGATTCTTCTTAAAACAGGGCCTCCGCACCGACAATGGGGTTTCAAGAACATCAATATACTATAATGTACAGAGCGAGATGATAACAAGACCGCTGTAGCTTAACATTTGTGTTCATGTTACCATCACATGCGTAGAAATCAGACGCCAGATGGCACCTCTATTAAATGTGTTATATTTTGCAAGTGAAAAATCCTATTGAAACCGAAAAACGGACACTTAAACCCTTCGTTTCTTAGAAACGCTTCACGGCTTTATGAAGCCCTATAACATTTGGTAATGTGTGTGTAGACCACACTATATACACCGTTTCCTGTGTGTTGTACATACCATTCAAACAATTTCCAGTTGGGGTTGCTCACGTGTTACTGCAACAACTGATAGTTGGCAAAGAGCCCAAAAAACACAGCCATTCCCATAGCATGCTGCTGCGTGTTTAACATCAAAAAAGAAAATTAGAAAAATCGCTTTCCTTTCACAGTTGAACATTACTTAAACCTTTGGACTCCGTTTGAGTTTTTTAGAAAGGACATTCCTTTTGAATTCACAGTGCTTTAAGGCTGTGTATTTGTGCAACAGAAAATGCTTTTAAAGCCTCACATAAAAGTCAAATTTAAAGGAATGTTACAAAATGACGTCATTTCGAAACTGGTATATTATTTGTAAAAGTGCATTGGTACAATGTTAAATTTAACACTGGAGGAATGTTTAGTGTTACTTTATAAAGATTACCAGAATATTTATATATAAATATATAGGTTTGTATAGAAACATCTAGGCCATATATAGGCTATTTTTACTGTATGAATATAATGATTAAATATACAGAATTGTTATTTAAAGATAAAATTCAGCAATGCTAAATTTGGAATTAAATTCAATTTCCTGTTGCCTGGGAAAACAGCTAGTAGCTTTACGAATGTATGACCCCATGTGTTGAGCTAAATAGTTGATATTTGTTTCTAGCAGGTATGGTTGAGTTGACGCTTCCATTTGCAGAGACGGGGGCAAGATTCAAGATATATCTTATATAATCACACAAATACTGGCTGAAAACGAATCTATAGACACTTTTCTATAATAAAGATGATGATAAGGGGGCTAGATAATACAGGAAACGTATGCTACTCTATCGTCTTAATTTGGATTTATCTTTCATCAGAAAGGAATACATGCTCGTTTTTAAATAGAAATTTAGGAAAACGAACATTTTAAATTACAGACTTCAAATAATCTGCATAGTTCTCGATAACGATATATAATTTACTGTGTATTGAGTTATGTTTAAACATTCAGTTATACACAATAATCTGCTGCTGAAATTAGGATTTGGTATTGCTGCTGTTGTTATGTACAATTAAAACGAGAAACCCCCTTCTAAAAAACATACGAGGCACTTTAACGAATATTCATTATGGACATCTTTCATACTATATATCTGCGTTTTCCCCTTCTATTTCTACAACTACGTTTATACTGCAGTTTCTAGCGTTATGTAAGGCCATAGTGACATTATAGACCAATCCTGATGTAACCTACCCCTTTTTTGCTAAGGGTTCACTGTCTGCAACAGAAAGGAGGGGGGAAATAAATTATGCTGCTCTTTAAAAGACTTGTTAAATTTCTTTATATAAGTTAAATTAAAATTCTTCTGAAACAAAATGTATTGTATAGTTCCCAATAGATTTGTAGATAACGCTGTGAAATAATTAGAAACTGAGTAAAGGCTTGTATCTCTGTTGAAAAAAACACCCCCTGCACCAAATGGTACAATCCAGATCATGCGTCACCCATTGTTTACAAATCAAACCCAAGTGGTTGCTTTCCGTTGAGGAGCGTGGTGTGAGTAGGGAGGGTTGTAGGGTCTCATTCATTTTAAAAAAATAATAAACCCTCGCCTGAAGGAGGACTCGAAACGTTGGATAACAAGGAAAGCGAATATGCCTTGTCGGAAGGAGAACTACATTCTTTTGGAGCAGTCGGTCACTGTTGACTCGAAAGAGGTGGACGCTCTGGTGACCAAGATCGGCGAAGCGCTGCAGCTGCACAGCAGCGCCGGTGCCAATAGTCAGAAGACGCTGTCATCGTGCCTTCATCACAGTCACAGCAGCAGTGGCGACAAGCACACTTGCACCAGTACAAAGCACAGCTACAGTGCCTCACACACTCGCACTAGCAGCAATACAAAGCATGGCTGTTGCATTCGGCTTCGAAATCGGGGTCTCCGGAGCCGGGCCAGTCCTTACTCCATCCCTGGGGACTACAGCGATCAGGACTGGGACAGTCTGAGAGCCTGGAACCGCAAGAAAATAGACGTGTCGAGCCAAGAGGACGACCCACATCAGCTGCTCCAAGAATTGATTTTGTCTGGAAACCTTATCAAGGAGGCTGTTAGGCGCCTCCAGCTCTCTACGGCAGACCGTGCGGATCTCTGCAAACCTGCCGACAGCCTGCAGTGCTAATGAAGAATATGACGGTGCGATGTCTATCGGTGGATCTTCGTCCTTAATGACAAAAGATCGGAGGGGCTGGTGACTGAGAATAGACTAGATCGTTTCCTGTGAAGACGTATTCCACCTAAAGAGGAACTAAAATATTTAAATATGTATTGATAATACTACAACTACCTGTGATTTATATATTTATATCAATAAGCGAATTAAAGCAGCTGCATTTTTTAGAAACGTTTTTTAAATTGGTTTGTTTTGGTAACCCTATTTTTTTTTAAGGAGACGTTTGTAAAAGACGTTTTGTAAAATATTCAGATGTGTTGCAATCGTTATTTTTTCGTCCTGGTAATACGTAAACAAAAAGGTGCCGTTTTTTCTGCTAGTGAGGACGATCTTTTGTTTTTGTTCCACGCAAGTAATTTGTAAAATGGTGGAAATTTACCCACGTTTGTATCTGATCGATGGGTGTTAATCTGTGGGTCACACCTTTTTTAATGGCCTTCTTTGTGCGGATCTTGCTCAGAGCTGACAACAACACATGCCTTGTTTACAACATGAAAGCAACTGGGGCTTGATTTGTTGTGGTTGCGCTAAATCTGAAACCCCAAGGTCGTTACTCTGCACACCCTCCCCGGCTGGATTCCAAGACAGCGGTGTTTTGACTGCATGGTGTCTCTTTTTCAAAGAAGCGAGCATGGAGCCGCTGAGAATTGGCACGTTGGCCGGTTGTGTAGTGGAGGGGAGAGTAGTTTTCCAAGAAGAGCCGCTCTGTGTTCCGACATTTCTCAGAACTGAACAGCCCTAGGGTTGGGTTAAGGTCTTTATGTATGGGGGAGGTGTTGCCCTGTTTCAAGTAAAAACTGAACATTTCGTTTAAAAAACGTCACTTTTTAGATTTCCAACGTGGAATCAAATGATTGTGTTTGCATTGTGTAAAGTAACTCACTTTGTACACTTCGCAACGAAGTATTTTCTACCAATTTTCCTGAGTTTTCAGGACTTTTTGGTGTCTTAAATAAACACGATGGTTTTGCAACCACGTCTGCTCTGTATGTTTTTGTTTTACTGCTCTTCAGCTACCGTTAACGTCCATTAAAATATTTGCGAGACGAGAACGTGCTAAGATATTTAAATTTCACAACTCGCCATTCAGCTAAGTCTCTGACTTCACTCAAAAATGAGAAATGTTTTCCAGTTTCAGTATTTGGAGGTTTTGGCGGAAGAACGTTCATATATTTGCTAGTAAAATCAGACCGGGATTTTGAATTCCCGAGAGTCATGACGAAAGATTTATAGACCAAATTAAAAATAGTGTAAACGGACTGTTACTAGTTAATGGTTTCCTTTTATTCGGAAAACGTTTAATCGTTTGAACACAAGAGTATTGTTCAAAAGGTTTTACATTTTTATTAATTATTTCGAGTATCCTGTGAGTATGCGTATTGCGTTAAAGTTGGTTTATTATGAATATTGTATGATCATGCAGATATTTACGCGAATTTAGATATGTACGAAGTATTGTCCAGGGTTTGTTTTTGTCCTCAGATATCAAGCACAGTAACTTAAGTGAAAATATTTTTGAAGACACGTCATCCTAACCACTATCTCAGCAGTGTCTTCCTTGCTCCAGGCTGGACTGCTGATTAATTTTACACAGTTGACAGTAAACTGCCATCAGCTTGTTCCGCATTTCGTCATTCAGTGCTAGAACAATCAAAAGATCTGTACAGCAGGGTGGGGGGAGTCTCTGCAGTAAACAGCGACATTGTTGATTACTACTGACCTTAGGTGCACGTTTCCGTCAAAATGCGAGTTTATCAACTCAAACAAGCGTTTTTTTAAACTTGCCTTCACTTGATATGCTTTTAGCTTGTCTCATGTTCTATGATTAAATGTCAGTATAAACATTTACAGGCGATAGAAAAGGAGTACTTCAAATGTTGTCTTTGTTTCCGCATATCTTCTACTGATGTATATTATGATTAGCTAGTCAATTAAAAAAATGTATTTTCTGTGTTGAAACAAAAAAATAAGTGTTTTATTACAGATCTTTTTTCTGTGAGAGCGAACCTCTAAAATCAGCAGATGCTAGGATCGTAGTTTTTAATTGCATACTTTATTATTCTAAGGTTATTTTCTCCTCTTACACTAAACTCAACTATTAAAATGTATTGACTACCATAAAGCCAAAGAAAGTATAACCATAAATTACGTTTTGTTGTTACATCAATCCTAAAGTGTATCTTTCCCAAAAAGTTCAAAAGCTACATAGAATGTAACCTAAATATTCATTTATGTTCTTTTTTTGTGTTTGTCAAAAACATTCCGAACAATCAAAATTCAATTTGAATAGTCTGATTTTCTTCACTCTTAGAAATTTTTAATGTTTTAGGCAATGCATTTTGCATGGTTTTCTATTCAGAAAAGGCTGTTTGTCCTGTTTGTCTTCAGAAAATGTGCATTCTGATGTATAGTACACAAAACAAGGACACTAGTGTGATAAAAGGAAAACTCACGGCTTTATACTAAATACAAATCCAAATCAGTTAAAGGCAGTGTGTGTTTTAAAACAACATTCATTTTCAAAAACCACTACAATCAAGGACAAACATGCTAACAATTGCATTAATGGCAGGAGCTGTATCACCCTGCAGATCACGACTAGCAACCCACTAAAGCTAAGGAGGTATGACCTTGGTCAGTACCTGGATAGGACACCTGGGAAAAACTAAGGTTGTTCTTGGAAGAGCTCATAGTGGGGCCAGCAGGGGGTGCTCACCCTGCAGTCTGTGTGGGTCCTAATGCCCCAATATAGTGACGACGACACTATACTGTAAAAAGGTCCTTTGGATGAGACATAAAACCGAGGTCTCTACTCTCTGTGGTCATTAGAAATCCCAGGGTGTTTCTTGAAAAGAGTGGGGATGTAACCCTGGCATCCTGGCCAAATTTCCCATTGGCCTTAACCAATCATGGCCTCCTAATAATCCCCATTTTTGAATTGGCTTCATCATTCTATTCTCCTCCCCACTGATAACTGATGTGTGGTGAGTGAATTGTGTGCTCTATGGCTGCCGTCACATCATCCAGGTGGGGCTGCACATGTAAAGCACTTTGAGTGGAGTGCCCAGAAAAGCGCTATAATTATTATTATGATTTTTATTACCACTGTCACATGTATTTGGCAGGAAACCATTGAGCACACTTCCTTGTTCATTTGTCATAGTAATAGTCAACGCTGTTGGCAATCTTATCTTTTTGCATACATGCAGGTTATACAAGGGGTGTTTAATATTAATTTTTTCTGTATGAAAATGTAATATTTGTATTATTTAAACTAAGAGGTATGCAAATGAGCTATTGAACCAATATAATATGTTGGATGTTTAATGCCTCTCAAAAGATACAAGCACAATGGACTGTTTCTTTTTATTGAGGTATTTTTCTTCCAGAATAAAATTTCTTTGCATAGATTTACACAGATCACTTCTGTATCATGCGCACTGTGTACATTTGCACTTTTCTATTTTTTGTGCCTTATGTACACACATTGGTTACATTAGAACCTAACAGAGAAACAAATTGCAGACCGGGTAAAAATAATATGTCTATGAAGCTGTTTCAGGGTCATGATACAGTATATACATCTGTTTAATTCAATTTATCTATTTCAGTCTTTATCCAATGCAATTCCAGGGTTACAGTAACAAAATGCATTACAACGCAAAAGTCAGTGTCATCGTTTTCTAAGGTACTTGTGAGGATATTACAAGTCATTCTTGGAATAACAGGCTCTAAAGATTTTTGTGCTACCTAATTGTCCTTGAGTGGTTATCAAGGAATATCTTTAGGAAATTAATGTATATTGGCCCAGATGTATTTACTATCTTTTTGTGTATTTTGATTAAATGCTAAAATTGCTTTGTTATTCTTAATATAGCAAAGCTGATATATCATTCTATATAACTTTTTTTTTGCTGAACCACCAATGAGAAATTCAGCAGTTATGTAACAGGCCTTCTACTAACTGCAATCTTTGACATTGATATTTTCAGTGTAACTCAGGGAGAAGACAATCATTAAACTCTTGTGTGAGTAATTTATTATGAACTTGCTTAACAAGATAGTGAAAAGCATGTGAAAGTTGAAAATATGGTCACTTAATTTGCTGAATACAGACGTTTTATGTTGGGATTACAGGGCTTGTATAAACATTGAGGGTTGAATAAACTTTTAAATTGTTTTTCAAACAGTTTAGAAATGATATATACATCTGTCTATTCATTTATTATTAATATATTCAGAAACATAATTAATATAAACAATATCACCAAGCTAAAAATCCTTATAGAAATTAATACAGAACAGTAGAAATACACAACCCCTTCCCTATACCATACAGACACCCATAAGTTTTGAAGATTCAAAAATAATTATTAAAATAATCAAAAAAACACTAAAGAAATCAAATCTATCCTCCCATAAATTGTGCAACAACATTTTTTCCAAAATCCAAATAAAACAATAAGATCTATTCATCTTTGTATTGAAAATAATAATTGTTTCATATAGAACATAATGAAAACAAGATTACATACAGATTACACACTAGTATTAATCCAAATCTTCTTTCTCTCATTAGTAAGTGAGACAGATTAAGGGTTTTTGAGAAAGGGTATTTGATTCTCTGCGTAAGTTATTAACAATATAATATCAACTATCTTTAACATTTGAATTGTAGGAGTTTGAGTTTTTCATGCAAAACATTTTGATTTGTATCATACATTTCATAAACTTATATTGCAGCCAGCAAGATTCTGGTTACTAGTTTCACATTTCAGATCATCATTTGTCTGCAAGGCTCTTCCTGTACTCTTCATCTTCAATATTGCATTGAGGAGCATATACCCTAATAAGACTACATTAGAAATGTGATGTTTTTTATGCTTAATTAAAATACATTGTTTTGAAAATAAAGTATTCACCCACTTCCAGTGACATCCAATTTTAATTACAAATGATGTAATATACATGGGCTATAGAAAGTCTACACAGACTTTCCAAAATAACACATTTTTACATTTATTTTAAACACACAACCATCCATGCCTTTTCGTTTTTTTATTGAATTCAGGCTCCAGCTCCCCCTGCGAACCTATCCCAGCAAGGCGGAATACTCGCTCATCATGGGGCACAGAAATGCACACACTCACAGAGCCATTTTTCCCAGATGCCAATGGAAAACCCAAGCAAAAATTGGCAGAAAATACAATACAAACTCCATGCAGATAACAATCCAAGTCCAGAATTGAATGCAGGGTACCAGCATTGCAAGGTAGCAAGCACCCTAACACACAGCCTCTAAGTGAAAGACAAATGCTTATACCTTCTGAAAGGTAAATATGAATGTTGACCTTGAAAAATGGGATGAAAAGGTATACACAAACCCTTAACAACAGCAATTGTAAATTTGTTCTGGTGTAACCAGTTGACTTCTAAATCTTACAAGCTAATTAGCTTCCACCCGTGTTCAGTTGTAGTGATTCTGATAATAATTTTTAATAAAAACAGCTGTTGCTGTAGGGCTCCTCTGCTGGGTAATGCATCTGAAAGTAAAGAGTTAACTATGGGCAACATGAAGATATTAAAAGACCTCTGGGATAAAGCTGTGGAAAGGCATAGAGCAGGAGATGGATATAAATTCAGACCAAAACAACATAGATGAAAAACTGAAAATATTGGAATTTGCTATTAAAAACACACAAAACCCTTTAGACTCACCAATCACAGAGTAGGATCTACTAGACAAAGTCCAGGCCTTCAGACCACGAAAGGCCTGTGGCTGAGACAGAGTCAACAACAAGATGCTCAATCTCTTCAATCTCTTACTGAGAGCCAGGTGTTTCCCTGAGGCTTGAAACCAAAGCCAAAGACTAATCTGTAGGACTGTAGAAAAGGTACCAGGGCATCTGTGTGAATAGTTATCTGGGGACGGTATTTTGCAGTATCATGAATGCCTGAATACTGGCCTTCCTTGCCGA